CCCCGCCCGCTGGGTGCAGCAAAGGCCAACATGGCTGCGTGGGACAGGAGTGCGGGCCAGCGGGCAACAAGCGCAGCGACCAGGCTGGACCGGAGACGAACCGGCACCTCTCTCGCCTTGGCTGGGGCGAGGGCGTGCACAAAGGAGGCTGCCTCGTCACTCCACCGGCCCCCGACCTCGACGGCCAAGACAACCAAGCGACAGCGCTCCGAGCGGAGCAGCTCCGGGTATGTCCGCTTTTTGCGCCGGCGTGCAAGGGCAAGGGCGGCGCCTTGAACACGACCACCCCAGCTGCAGGGCTGCCCCGAGCCGGACAAGGGAGATACCAACGTGGTGTCCACGGCGAGCTGCTGGGCCCGAGCACAGGCTGCGCGGTGGTCGCCGAGGGAGTCCATAAAGGGCGACGACACCGGCAGTAGCGCTGGGAAAGTGGCAGCGGAAGGCGCAGGCGCACAGCTGCAATGCCACAAGCAGAAGCTCGCTTGCAATTTGCGCATCCGGCTCAAAAAGAATACTTCCTTGATTCCCACATTGCGTTGAAAAGCGAAAATCAACGCACAACTGAAACCAGAACACTTCTGGAGCACTAGCACTCATGCCCTCTCTCTGGCGTTCCAGACCTTGGTTTTCCGAGCGTTGGGACGGATGCGCATGTCGCAACAAAGAATCCGCCAATTAAAAATCAAACGGATGCGATCCGGACGGGCAACCACGTACACATCATCGAGAAAGGGCCAGAAGCAGCTCGTTGGCCGCTGACCCAAAGAGAGCAAGGCGGGCATGAGCGGCCTCCGCCCTCGGCGTCCTTGCGGCTGTCCTTTGGAGAGAGCGGCGGCGCGTGTCTGCCGAGAGCTGGTGCCAGAGTCACATGCAACACGCTGCTTGCTGACTTGAAACGTCGAACTGGAGGTTGTTGCAAACGGGTTGCCTTTGCGGGGGGGGGGGGGGGGGTCAGCAGCTCGTGGTTGACACCACCCCTGTGTCGCCATTGGCGAGCCAGGGCCAGATGCCTTGGCCAGCTCGCTGCCGCAAGGCGCGGACGTACCCGGAGCTCCTTCGCTCTGCCAGATGCCGCTTGGCCGTGCTCGCAGTCGAGGTCGGCGGCCGTTGGAGTGACGAAGCCGCCTCTTTCGTGCGCTCACTTGCGCGTGCGAAGGCGCGCGAGGCCCTCGCCAGGCTCGGCTCCCAGGAAGGGCGGGTGGCCACGAGAACAAATCCACCCTCGCTGCCAGGACGGGACATCAACGGCAAAGACCCGAGGACCATGCTTTGCACAGAAAGGAGGAGACGGCACTCCCTGCAGGAGAGGGTCCTGCATGGTGAGGCAAAACCCGCAACGAAGACAATCCATGGGGCACTCAGCCATGCCGACGGTGCGCTCCCGCCCCTGGGTGAGCTTTTTGCAGATGCAGGTGAGGCGCCCCTCACCGCTAGCCGGCTGCCTGCCGGCTAGCTGCGCTTCGTACAGCTGGTGGCCCCCGGGGTACAAATGGCTTGTGTGCCTCCCGTGCCCGGCGGCTCCCCTTAAGCAGGGTTTTCGGGGGGACGAACCAAGGCGATAGAGAAAAGGCGCGCGATTTTTTTTAAAAATCCATGTGACGGGAAGCAAGGTCATTCCAAGCCTGCACCAACGCAAGGTGATGGCAGCAAAAGGCAACGACGGAGTCCGGAGGGCCTGGCGGCAGGGACTCCACAGGCGGGACCGACCGGGTGTTGTAAGAAGGCGCAGCTTGAGGTGAGGACACTTGCTGCTTTCGACACTGCCGCATGAATCCGTCCTGTGCAGACAGTGGCCACCCTGATCGGCAAAGCGGACGCGACATGGCACGGGAGTTGACACACAGGAGCGCCACGCAACCGAGGTGCAGCGAATGCCCACACGGTACCAACACATACTGGGCTTCGCACAAACACACGGGGCAGGCATCATCGGCGGCTGTTTTTATGGAGGCCAGCTCCTCACGTGCAAAAAAGCTGGCCATTTGTGCCCCTGCGGCCTAGAAAGGGGCCCGGCACTGCCGTTTGCAAACAGCTTGCGAAGAGGCGGCAAACTCCCATCAAGATTGCACCGTCACCGAGGAACAGCAACAACAAGGCTTCCTGAGCAGTTGCAGGGATGTAGCCATTTCGGAAAGAGCACTGCTCGACCGCCCAGGCCAGGAAAACGGAAGAGCCATGTGGCAATGCGGAGCGCCCGAGCCCGAGTGCTCTGGCTGCATTGCGGGGAATGCGCGCTTGGGCAACCAATTGCAGCACACGAGCAAACTGATCGGACGCATCCTCGTCATCGAGGAGCACACGGGCAACTTCAGCAGTCTGTCCGGAAGGTCCGGGGGCGGCGCCTTTGCGCGCACGCCGTAGGTTGGAAAGGATGAGCTCCGGAAGAAGTTCGCCGGGCGGGGTCTCGAAGCTCGCCGGGCGGGGTCTCGAAGGACGGCGCCGGGGGCCAGCGGGCTGGCGACCAACGCTTGCCGGGCAGCTGGCAGCTCCCCAAGGTGGGCCAGGTGGCGCGCTCGTTGGCTTGAGCGATCCGATCCGGTGTCGGGTGTTTCGAGGCTGGGGTCAAGTGAAGATGGTGGTGCCTCGCTGAGAAGTTCGAGCCAGCGGCCCTCATGGAAGGCGGCGATGCGGGCAACCCAGTCGTGCTTGGGGATTTTCTTGACCCCAGGCTTCCGGTGCAACAGGATTGCATGGACGCGCCCAACTGCGAGCGGAAACCTTGGTTGCCTTTTTGGACGATGCACCAGCCGGACTGCACGGAACCTTGGCCCACCAGCTTGAAGCGCACTGCCACGTGCGCCTCAACAAGGGGAAAACGCGAGTGTGGAACGCGGCAGGCCAAGTGCCTTGGGATCTTGGTCAGCCTGGGCTGCCGGACTTGTTCTGCTGGGTTGGAGCTGGGCGTTTGCCCGATGCAGAACAAGGGCTTACTGTTCTTGGGGCCCCTTTTGGTTCTGATGCATTTGTCCGGACTCAGCTTCTGGCGTCGCGAGCCAGCCACGACCAGCTCGTGCAGCGCTTGCCCGAGCTCGATGACTTGCAAGCATCTTGGTTGCTGCTGCTTTTTTGTTGCCCTCCGCGCTGCAACTACCTTCTCCGGATGCTTCCCTCGTCGGTCACGGCCGAGTACGCCGCAGCTATTCTTTCGCGGACTTTCTTGGTGTTGACGGTCTTCCCGAACAGGCTCGAAGGATCGCCCAGTTGCCCTTGTCGCTCGGTGCTGTCTGCTGCTCAAACTTCTGTCTCAGCGTATTGGGCATCTTGGGCAGATTGTTTGCCTGTCCTTCGTCAGCGCTTGCCGCATGCGGCGCAAGCTTTCCTCCGTGACCTTGAGGCCCCGGTCCTGCTAATCCGCTGCCTTGCGGATTGGACTCCCCCAGCTGGCGTGAGCTCTGTGCCGGCGCGCCGGCGCCGGCCCCGCAAGAGGACGGGCCCCGCACCTTTGTTCGCGGTCACCACTGTGCCCATCAGCCCCGCGCTGGATTATCCTTCCCAGCTGTTCGGTGTGCTTCTTCTCTGGCGTCTCCGCCTTCCGTTGTCGCCCTTTGGACCCCGTTGGCGTCGGGCGTCCTTCGGAGCCGCGGTTGTCCTTTGAAGAGAGCGGCGGCGTGTGTGCCGGGAGGCTGCTGCCAGAGTCATATGCAACATGCGGCTTGCTGACATGAACCTCCGGCTGGAGGTTGTTGCCAACAGCTTGCCTTTGTGGGGGGGTTAGCAGCTCGTGGTTGACACCATCCTTGTGTTGCCATTGACCAGCCAGGGTCAGCCTTGCCGGTGGCGGTGTTGCTGGAGATGCCTTGGCCAACGCTCGCCGCCGCAAGGAGCGGACGTACCCGGAGCTCCTTCGCTCTGCCAGCTGCGTTTGGGGTTTTCCTCTTCCCCGATGTTTTGATCTTGATTGAATCTTCGGACGCGTTGCCGTTTTCTGCTTCAAGCTTCTTAAGGGTCATGCCTTGAGGGTTCTATCCCTTTTTTCTTGCGCTAGCCATGGAGCCTGCTACTGCATCGTTTGCATGTTGCTTACACTTTGTGCATGACCGTTATGCATGTGCCTGGATGAGCACGATCTGCATTGCATGCCTTGCGTGCCGTCGCCTGGTGCGTGCATAATAGCGTGCCAGATGACACGCCCCCCACAGGTGGGCGCGCATGTCTGGGTGCATGCAGATTTAAGGTGGTACATCCACGGCATGGGCGGCATCCCAGACTTGCACAATGACTCCGCATCTAGCGACGCATCCGAACAGGAAGCATCGCGCACCAGCCGTTCTAGGCGAGCCGGCTGACGCATGCCTTGGCCTCCTTGTGGGCATGCGTGCAGACAGTTGTACCTCCGTGCCGCATGCTTCGCATCAGTACCTTGCAGGTCCAGTCCACGCACTGTGCATTAGTGGCTATGCCATGTGCTGTGAGCTCCGCATGTGAGGGATAATCGAAATATTCGAAGCCTTTCTTCTTGGTGCTTTGGCATCTTGCATGACACACGCACTCAACATGCCTATAGTCTCAGATGCCCATCTGCACTCGCATCGTTTCCGGCATGCACCCGCAGTTGGATGGCCCAAGACCCAGTACACCGCATCGGTGTCCCTTGCGTGCCTCGCAGGTCAGGCCCTTCTTTACATGTCAAGAGGCAGCGGCATGCATTTTGCTTAGTGGCGCACATCCCTCTTTATGCATCCCTCTTTCGTGCACCATTGATGACCTGCCAGCCTCGTGCACTTTGCTTGCGTTGTTTTTTCAGCTATCCAGCACGAGCCTCATGATCAGCCCCCTCGCACCATGGGTTTTCCGAGGCTGCTGAAAAAGGAAGGGGTTCGCCGGGTACTCTGTTGCCCTCTGGTTCGGGGCTCGGGGAGGCCGATCAGTTGGTGACGCAGCGTGCGTTTGCGGCGGCCGCCCTGTCCAGAGCGGGCATATCAGTGCCCGGACCCGCCGGAAGGATGGGCTGGCGCACGCCCAGCCTTTGGAGTGATGCCTCAGGCGATGTTCCCGCGCAGGCCCGGCAATGTCTCTCCCACTAGCCACAGTGAGCGTGCCCTCGTCTGAAGCGGCCACGTTGCTCGATGAGACGCCCCGCGTTGACGAGCCCGAGGGGCCGATTGGTGGAGAGGCCGCCCCGGGCCAGCCTGGCGCCGTGACGCCGGGCTACGCGCCCGCCTCTCCCCCACGCTCCTTTAGCCCGCCCCGCCCCGCCTCTTGGTGGACACGTGGGCCTCCGTCGGGCGCTGTTTCCACTCGAGGCAATTCCTGGTTGTACGTGCCCTTGCTCCACGCCGCCGCCGGCACCTTGGCCCGCACTGCTTTTGAGGAGTGGACGCAGCAGACAACGTGGCCGGGGTGGCTGCCCATGGTGCAACACTTGCAGGAGGCGGCCCCAGCAGACGTAGACGCCGTCCGTCTCGTGCTGCGGGGGCTGGGGGCGCATCAGGCAGCCGAGCGGCTACCGGACACAACCAGTCGCGCCGTGTCCTTGCCGCTAGCGGCCATCGCTTCTTCCCTCGTCGAAGCTGATGGGTACTTCCACGCGGCGGCGCAAGAGACGCTGGTTGAGGCCTTTGCTGGCCAGGAGGCGGCGGCGCAGCTCCTGCGCTCCGCAGACGCCTTCCGCCTAGTCTCTGCCACGCGACCGGAACTTCACCCGAGTGTGGGGGCAACGCCGGAGTTGGAGCCAGGCGAAGGCAGCTTGCCCACACGGCGCGTGCAACAGGGTCGGCGAAGGGGTGCCAGGGGCGGCGCCCGCAACCAGGTGGATGTGGCCGAGGCGGCAATGCAGCGAGGACTGGACGCCTTGAACGACATCGACCTTGCTGCTGTACTCCGCGTCCGCACGTTGACGCTGCAGGGGGTCCCGGGCTGGCTGCGCGGCCTCCTCGCTTTCGCGTTGCGCGCCGGCCTTAGGCTGATCCGGGATGCGCCGGGGGACGCACGCGCGCAGGAAACAGCGGGGTGGAAGTTGTTCATGCTTGCTCCGAGGATGCTGCTGTCCCGGGCGCGCGGCCAAGCACGGATCGCCCCTGCGGACCTGGAACAGAGGGTGCGTTTGTTCAAGGCGGGCGAGTGGGCCCAGTTGCTGCAACCGGCGCAAGCCCCGGCTGGGGTCACATCCGGCCGACCCCCGCCCGACTCGCTTGAAGCGAGGGGTGAGCGGGCTGCGGCCCTGGCTCACTTGGGCGAACTCTCGGCTGCAGCTCGGGCGCTGACGGCGGAGCCGCTGGCGCCAGGCAATGAGGAGACGCTGCAGGAGCTCCGGGACCCCGCCCGCAGACCGCAAGTTCCGCGAGTGCCGGTCCCTGAAGCCGTCCCCCAACACCAGCAAGCGAGCCAGTGCGGCTGTCGTGGGGCGCCTTCGTCAGCAACGTGCGCCGTGCGCGCCGCGCGGCCCCTGGACCGAGGGGCTGCACCAATGAGCATCTGCGCTTGCTTTTGGAGACGGAAGAGGACATGCAGCTGCTCCACCATGCGGCGCAAAGACTCGCGCTAGGGGACGTTCCCGACACCATCGCCCGGGCGCTTCGCCTGGGCCGCATGGTGGCGCTGCGCAAGCCGAACGGTCGAGTCCGCGGCCTGGTGATGGGGGACACCTTCCGCCGACTCGTGGCCCGGACGCTGGCGCAGCAGTTTTCCGCCGCCTTCGACACAGCTTGCCGGCCCTTCCAGTTCGCCCTCGGGACTCGGGCCGGAACGGAGGCTGCTGCCCGAGCCGTCCGCGCCCTGTGTGAAAGGGATCCGCGCGCGACGGTGGTCAGCATCGACGGTGTCGGGGCATGACCACGTCCACCGGGCAAGTATGTTGGGGGGCCTCGCGGGTGACACTGCGCTCGCCCCGTTGCTCCCCTTCGCCCGCCTCTTCTACGCGGAGCGTAGCACGTATCTCTGGTATGACGCTGCGGGCGTGGCGCACGACATCGCCCAGGCGGAAGGGGGCGAACAAGGAGACCCGCTGATGCTAGCTCTCTACGCGCTCGGGCAGCATCCGGCGCTGGTGGCGGCTGCCGCCACATTGCTCCCCGGAGAGACCGTCTTCGCTTACCTCGATGACGTCTACGCTGTGTGTCAGCCAGAACGGGTACACGCGGTTGCCAACGTTGCCCGAGTGGCTTTGCAGGAGCATGCGGGCATAGAGGTGAATGGCTGGCGAGGAGCCGGCTGGCGTCCATGCACTGCAGGGGCCGGGCGGGGCCGACCTGTGGGTTGGCGCCTGGACGCTCCCGCCTGCGCGGCGCGGCCTGGTTGTTCTGGGCACTCCGGTGGGCCATGCCGCCTTCATCCAGGCCCATTTGCGCCAAAAACGCGCGGAGCAACAACAGCTGCTCGACCGCATCCCCTGTGTGCCGGACTTGCAGGCGGCGTGGCTGGTGCTCCTCTACTGCGCGCGGCCGCGGTGCAATTACTTGCTGAGAGCATTGCCCCCGGCTGACACAGCTGCGTATGCTGCGGGCCACGACGACGCCCTCGCCGCTTGCTTGAGCCGCTTGCTCGCCGGGGATGGGCCTGGTGGCCGCCCGGCGCTGGAGGGTGCCGAGTTGGGCGAGCTGCAGCTGCGGCGAGCGCAGTTGCCTCTGGTGCATGGCGGCCTTGGCTTGCGAGCGGCGCACCGCGAGCGCTTTGCGGCGCATTGGGCGTCCTGGGCCGACTGCCTCCCGGTCATCCGGGCACGTCTGCCGGCGCTTGCTGAACGAGGGGGGTGGTGGGCTGCCGTGCGTGGCCCAGGCCGTCCAGGCGGCATCTACGCTGCCACCGGACTTCCACAGGCCCACGTGGCAGGGGCTATGGGATGGAGCGGCGCCGGGCCAAGGGCCTGGTGAGCCCGGAGACTTCCTCCGCGGCTGGCAAAAAGAGGCCACCTCGCTGACCGACGAGGCGGCGCGCGATACGCTGTTTTCAGACCTTGACCTTGCGTCGCGCGCGCTGCTGTTGTCGCAGGCGGGGCCCCAGGCGGGGAGAGCCCTGCATGTTCTGCCAACCGCCGCGGAGCTTCGGCTGCCGAGCGACCTGTTCCGCATTGTCCTGCTTCGCCGCCTCCGCATGCCACTGCCCGCAGCTGCCCGCGCCTGCCGCTTGCGGGCGCCCCGCAGATGCTTTGGGGGACCATGTCACTGCTTGCCCGACGTCTGGTGTGCTGCGGACAAGGGCTGTCCCCCTGGAGCGGGCGGTCGCGCGCGTCTGCCGCGAAGCGGGGGGGCGGGTGGCCATGCACGTCCGCGTGGCTGAGATGAACGTTGATGTCCCGGTGTCCGATGCCCGGTGCATCGAGATCCTGGCGTCGGCATTGCCGGTGTGGCATGGCGCCCAGGTGGCCATCGACACCACGCTCGTGAGCCCGATCGGGAGGGACGGCCAGCCCAGGGGCCGCAGCGCCAGAGAAGCCGGGGGGTGCTGGAGCAGGCGGCCCGGCGTAAGCGGGAGACAACTTACCCGGAGCTGCTTGCTGCGCGGCGGTGCCGCCTCGTTGTCTTCGGCGTCGAGGTTGGTGGCAGGTGGAACGGCGAGGCGAGGGAGTTGCTGCGCGCCCTAGCCCGTGCCAAGGCGAGGGAGCGGCCTCAGTGGCTGCGGGCCTCGGCTGTGCAGGCCTTCCACCAGCGCTGGTCCGGCATTATTGCCGTTGCGGCGCAGAGGGCGCTGGCTGCCACTCTGGCTGGCCTGCCAGGAGCGGGCCTGGACGCCTTGGATGGCACCGCGCCGCCCTGGCCCGAGGTGCTGGCGGCCGCACGCCTCGGCGAGGCTGAGGAAGCCAGCCGGCTGCCGCTGCGGGCCCCGGGCCGTGGCGGCACGACGGCGGGGAAGGCTCCTCCGCCCTTGTCGCCGAAAGCGCTTCACCCTACTTGCACGAAAAACAACATGTCTCACCCTCGCTGCACGGAAAAAGGAGCGACAAAAAAAAAAATCAGTCCTGCCATGCTGCACCGCAGTTGCATGAAAGGCAGCATTCTAGAAGGGTTGACCGCATGTCGACCCAATGCACCGCAAATGCATTAAACTGCATCTGGTCATATGTTTTGAGCGCTTGAGCGCACGCTCCATGACCCACATGTGTCCAAGCACCGCCTGCGTGCTCGCCGCGTGCGGGCCCCAGACAATACACCGTGCAATCCAGCAGCAGGCTTATTGCATGTCTTCGTGCGGCGCACCGCAAATGCATCCCAAACATGCTTTGCTCATGACCACTCACCATGTCTTATGCTCAGTGCTTCAAGATACTCGAGCCTGGCATTTCCGACTCGCCGCGCCGCAGATGCATTTTGAAAAGGTCGAACACGCGTTGTTGACCTTGAAGTCAGAGGCGGGCTGGACACGCTGTGTCAGCCTTGCCTGCTTCCTTGCTTCGCATGCACTGCATTCCCGAAGCTCGGTGCACAGAGGTACCATACCTTGCACCTGTGACCCGCCGCGTGCGGGCCTCAAAGCCACTCGGTGCACCGCAGATGCACCGGGTTGGGCCCAACACTTTTTGTTGACCCGGAGGGCGTTGTCAGCCTCAACTGCAGTTCGAGGTGGCAATGGCAACATGCCCCTCCCTCAGCTGCGCCTGCAACGACGCCAACATTCCTCCGCCTGCCCGCAGTTCCTCTTGAGCTTCAAACACTGGTCACTTCCCCGTCCGAGTTTGCAAATGCCACTGGTCAGTGATGCCCATGCTTGCTTCGATGCATTTGAAGACGCCGACACCCTCGCACCAGTGCCATCGCATTGATGCATCACCCTCCCGCATTGTACAGGACGGCTTCGCATCCCTTCTCAATGAGTGGGTGTCCTGTAGTTCGCGGCGTGAAAGTCCCTCAAACCCAAAACTTATCAAGATGCAATGGCAGCAACGAAACAAGACACTAACCTATTCCCCTCTCACAAGAAAACAATTGCAAAGCCAAACGCCCACCGGGACCTTTTAAGGGAATCGACCCGACCCGGGGAGCGCGCTTTTTCTTGAGCCAAATCATGCAAGGTCCGCAGTTCACGGAAGGAATGCCCTACTGTAGGGATCAATTCCCGTTGATGCAAGTAACCGCAAAATCATCATGATGTAATTAATGCCCACACGAGGTGTATTGCCATTCCTGTGGGTATGCAATTATTTGAGAAAGAGTGCGGGTATTTCCACTGGTTCCGAGACGAACCTGACAATGACCAATGAATGTCAAGTCTCCAAATGTGTCCGCTCAAAGTCCACTCGTCTTGTTTCTTGATGGTGCTTGCATTGATCCACAGATCAACGTGGATGGCATGCTGGAGAACCGCAAACGGAGCCTGGCAGGCTTCCGCATGGCAGGGAAAAACCTGGCTATCGTCCAGCCCTTCTCCGCATTGCTTGCCAATCCCAAATTTGAGAGCATCAAGACATGCGTTAGCGTGCTTCCTCAGCCACGCAGCGCGCATTTCCTGCACTGGACGGATAGGCATCACGAACTCGCAGAGCTCGCCGACGAGTGGACGCATTGCATGCCCAGACCTGCACCGCCGGAGCCCGGCCCGGCGCCTTCTAGCCCTCCAGGCCTGCCTCGCCCTGCATCGCACCGCAACGCACCTTACTGCCTCAGCTTCCAGGCCAACAACTGCCAATCCAAGGCATGCAAGTTGGCACACGTATGCATCGTTCCAGATTGCACGGACAGCCGTGCAAAAAGCTCCAACCCTTAACCCTGAGCCTTGATGTTTTTTCAGCACGCGTCGCATTTCATCAGTGAAAAGCGGCCCTGCACGTGAGGACTAACTTGCATCTTAACACGGAGAAAGACTCCCCCTGCCTGCGCCTGACACTGACTCAGGTGCCCTGGCGTCGTGACGTACACGCCTGAGCTTGCATTCTTGGCTTCATGCTTTTCTCGC